TTTTTTAAAATAAAAAATCCATTTTCCTCTCAAAATGCGCGCGTTTTGTTTTCAGTCCCACACGAGGAGAAGCGCGTCCAGCTGTTCTGTTACCTGAAAAAGTCCAGTTTGCAGTAGAGCTTCCCGTCCCGGGAGAAGCACCTGTCGGTCAGGGCGCAGCTGCAGTCGCAGCACTGGACGCACTTGGCGTGCCAGGCTCTGTCCAGCACGTTGAGGAGGAAGCGGTCCAGGATGGGCCGCTCGCAGCCGGCGCACAGGACCATCATGTTGGCGGCCTGCGAGGCGCACAGGGCCGACCTGCTGCTCGGACTGGGGCGAGCCGGGGCCACGCGGAGCAACGTCTTGGCTCCTGGAGGTGCGCTGCCAGGAAAAAAAACCCAACAACAACAACTTTGTGGACAGACAATCCTGGGATAGAGCGGTCCTGTTGGAAGGCTTGTTACATCCACACTCCACAGATGAGAGGAGGAATCAGGAACAAACAACCATGGTTTTCTCTCAAACACGCTGTTTTCTCATCATTCAGGCCTTTAAATGTCAAATCCTTTCCTCTGAACTCCTGCCTTTCCTCTTTTTGATTCTGTTCTTCTGCTCCAGTAATTTCCTCAGGCTCAGCTCACGGTGCCACCTTCACATCCCCGCGCGCCTGGGTTATCACCACGGTTTGCCAGGCAGCGCGCGGCGCGTGCTCGCCTCAGATTGGACGCTGGCCTCGTTAATTCCAGAGCCAGACGAGCCAATCAGAGCGCAGTTGTCATGGTTACACGTTCACAGCCTCCGAGCAGGACCCGCAGCGCGCCCGGAACGCAGGAGGACCTGGGTTCTGCAGACCCGGGCTGAGAAAGGCCGGCCGGTGCGTGGACGGCACCGCTGGAGCCAGAGACAACCTGAGGGTGAGGGTGAAACTCTGACAGCCGCTGAGCAACACTTCCTGCAGGAGAGATGGAAGAATCGACCCGAGAACTGCGTTTTTTTTTTTTTTTTTTTTACCAGGATTCACCTGAAAACATGAAGAAACCAAAGCTCCGCGCGCTCTGTGCTGCTGCCGCGTGCACCGCAGTGGTTGTATAGTGCGTGTGTGTGTTTGTGTTTGTTTGTGTGTGTGTGTGTGTGTGTGTGGGGGGGGGGGGGTCTTTTCTCATGCACAGAGCTATTTAGAGGGAAATGTGATGGATTAACAGGAGCTTTAACAGCGCGGCCTCCCATCACTCCCATCACAGGTTCAATATTTACCAACTGGTTTGTTTACTGCGGGTACATAAACAGGCCACGCGCTGCATGACACAGAGTTTTAAAGTAATTAAGTACAAATACTTTGTTACTGTACTTAAGTAGAAATTTTGGTTATCTGTACTTTACTTGAATAATTATATTTCAGTGTACTTTTTACTTTTACTCATTACATTTTTACACAATTATCTGTACTTTCTACTCACTACATTTTTTAAAAAGGTAAGAAGTAGAAAGTCGGTACTACTATTTTATTCTGAGTTATTATTACTTAAAAAATACTATCCTGATAAACTGTGTTAGCTTGTACACAACCCATCACAGCTGCACGCTGTTAGAAAATATATTTTTTGGAGAAGTCACCTCCCAATAAATGTCATTTTGAAAAATCTAACTGCTCACTTTTACTCAGTACTTTTACTTTTAACACTTAAGTAGATTTTGTGTCAGAAATTTACTTTTGATACTTAAGTACAAAAAATATATCAGATACTTTAAGACTTTTACTCAAGTAATATT